CTGGAGTTCCACAGGTTACGAAATTAGGACCATCGTTATTTCTTCTCATGATCAATGACCTTAAACCATCCGAAGGGCACTCGTGGAAGTACGTAGACGACACGACATTAACCGAGGTTGTCCCAAGAAATAGCCAAAGCCAAATGCAGAGTGCAGTGTAGTGTATGGAGTAAAAACAACAAGCTCCAGTTGAACGAAGACAAGTGTAAGAAAATGATAGTTGACTTTAAGAAAGTGAAACATCAGCTTAAGACCATCATCATCAATTCCAAAGAACTCGAGCTAGTCAGCAGTGCCAATTAGATATTGGGTGTCGTGGTGTCTAACTCACTGGAATGGATTGACCATGTCAACTATGTCGTGAAGAAAGCTAACAAACGTTTGTATTTCCTAATTTTGCTTAGGCGTGCAAGCATTCCTGCTGACCATATCTTAAAATTTTATTGTACTTGCATCAGACCAGTTCTCGAGTATTGTGCACCTGTATTCCACCACTCATTACCTGCATATTTATGTAACGATCTTGAACGCATTCAAAAGCGAGCGCTTTCAATTATATCTCCTGGGTCATCTTATACGAACAATCTTAACAAGCATAATATTAGTTCTCTCAAAGACAGGCGTCAGAAACTGTGTGAAAAACTTTTCAAGACAATAGTATCCAACCCAGACCACAAGCTTTATCAACTACTGCCGCCCAAACACAATCCCACTTACAACCTGAGGAGAGAACGTGCGTTTGATTGTCCTACTATACGAACCAATTGTTTTAGAAACTCTTATATTTCCGCAATGTCAAATAATTTAAAGAAATAGGTTTGCTATGAATTGTTTTCATAACATAAGTCTAACTTGAACCTTAAAGGTCGTAATGTATATGTATGAAAATATGTGTACTGTTAGTATTTGTATGTGTGTATATGCAGTATAAGCATGTGTCTATAGACTTTATAACCTACAGTTAATTTATATATGTTTTGTAAATTTTACGCAATTCAGCTTTTTTGGGCTGCGATGTAAAATCTTATTAAATAATCTATCAATCTATCAATCTATATAACGGTCTATAACTGATCGTAACTGGGATGCATGCTTTGTATTATAAACCGGCATGTGTAATTTCGCCCACCTTACCAGCTACTTAAGTTCTGAAAGGAAACGGCTGAAAGAACAACCAGGAATATTGCCAAGAAACGATTAAATTTAGTGTCAGATATGATACTCCTTTTTGGCATCAGCGTTTCAACAATTTACGTAATACGGTATAACATCGACTTCCTAAGTTTCCAAAATGTCAAAAGGCTTCCGGCAGACATTTTTCGGAAATTAGCATAGCTGCTGGCAAGGAGAATAATCACGTCTAAGAAAAATCATCAAGAATTGAAAATATTTTTGCACTTAATGCCTTATCTCGGAAATAGTATTCTTTATTCTTTCAGCTTTAACAAGGACTTCACACAAACACACAAAAAAAACAACTTCACAATTATACCAAAGGCAAAGCCAGTGAAATTTGGCGAGAACGAAAGGGGTATTCCCATAGGCATAGGAGGCGCGTACCTATGGCAACACAGTTTCTATACATGACTAACTAACTAACTAACTAACTAACTAACTAACTAGCTAACTAACTAACTAACTAACTAACTAACTAACTAACTAACTATAACTAACTAACTAACTAACTAACTAACTAACTAACTAACTAACTAACTAACTAACTAACTAACTAACTAACTAACTAACTAACTAACTAACTAACTAACTAACTAACTAACTAACTAACTAACTAACTAACTAACTAACTAACTAACTAACTAACTAACTAACTAACTAACTAACTAACTAACTAACTAACTAACTAACTAACTAACTAACTAACTAACTAACTAACTAACTAACTAACTAACTAACTAACTAACTAACTAACTAACTAACTAATTGGCTAACTAGACTATATGTAAGTTTAAAAAATTCATTAATAATTCTCGAGGAAAATACAAAATAAATGAATGTTTAATCAATGTTTGTAAATCGGATAAAGATTTGTCCTGATTTACATAAACTTCAGCTTTGATTTTCTCGGCTTAGACAATGTTTATTTTTAAAATTACTTCGCCAATGAACTCATAAGACGTGTCATTTTTAGTACGATAAAACATTCGCATCCGATCTGTATCTGATATACAAACTCTCGCCTTCGGCTCGAGTTTGTATATCAGACACACATCGGCTGCTCATGTTTTATCTAGTGCATACTGATAGAACTAACTGACTGACGACGAACTAATACTGTATATCGTATATTAGCTCATGACGTACTTGAACGAGATTAATCCATGTAATATTAAGCATATACTACATCATGTATCCGGCTGAAGCGGAACCAGGCTAGAGAGAAAATCTGGAATGAGAGTTCCATTGTAGGGGGCAATCGGGGCCACGCATTCTCCACTTTAGTTCGGCTCGCAAAAGCAAAAAGTTATAGAAATAATCTGACCCCGATAGGTGTCGTTCACTCGCTTGCCCCTCCTCCTCCGCCCCCCTCCCCCAAATTGAATCCACGGTCACAGAATTCTTCGTAGTTTTCGTAGTGCAGGTTAAAGTTCTTTATTATTAACCCCCAAGTTTATCAATGGTACATTGTTCGTTGCTTGGTGCTTACACCTGACCTTCGATCACAACGGAACTCACATTCAAGATTCTCTCTTCAACCCGCGCCTGTTGGCAGGATACGTATTATACAAGTTAACTATAGTTAATTAGTTATGTAGTTGAGTTAGTTAAGTTAGTTAGGATCGGCATTTTTTAAGTAATAGTGAAGCCCTGGAATTTTCTTCTACACCTGCGTAAGTCGCGTAATGTTCATTGGGTAGGGTTAGTTCAAAAACTAAGGCAGGGACGTGCTGGGGTCTTAAAAAGGACAACGAATGACCAACGTCTGATGGGGCCCAGGCGCATTGAACGATGGCTCTTTACAATATAAACTGTAATATCTTAATCTTGATTTGAAAATTAAAATCTCAATGTTTCACTGAAAAATTTCAATGTTTTGATTTTAGGGGCCCATGATGGCCGAGAGGCCCACAACGAGTTCTCGTTGGCTCGTCCCTAGCCAGTACGTCCCTGAACTAAGGGGCCTAAATAATAAAGCCTCCATCGACAACGCTGGTAGCTGAATTTTTATTCTATCTCAAGTAAAGCAAAAGTTATTCTTATTAGTAGTTACATGTGTTGAAGACTGTTATTGTTAATTTATAGACACGGAATTTTCCAGAACATTCTATAAATATTCAATATAAATATAATATCTCAGTCAAACAATGACAACAGTCTGCCTCCTCCACAGGCGTCTCTTGGTCTCTAACAGCGCGAACGCGAAAGGAAAATAGAGGAAAAGCCGATGGAAAAGCAGCGAGAGAATAATGTGGCTCGCCAGAAAAATGAAAACGAAATTATATTAAAGAGACGTCTGGGTACGAGACAGGACAACAGTCAACAGGGGCCCCCAGGGGCCCCCACACCAAATATGCCTAAGGGCCCCCTCTTCCTCCGTTATGCCCAACCTCGTTATGCCATACACTGTTAATTTTCTCCTATATATGTATAACCAGCTTCAAGTTGTATTGTGTATCAGACTTGCCGTGTTCTTTATTCAATGAGTGAATCCTGTCCCTATGGTATAGGATGCAGAGAATGGCATGCTCGAAGCCAGAGGGCTTTTTAGGTGGGAGTTATAAATTATAAAGGCTCCCGCACGCCCTCTCATATTTCGGGCATTTTAGATTTTTGCTACCGCCATAATTAGACTAGTTGACGCATTTCAGTGTAAGTCGTCACAGAATTTGAACCGTGAGGCCTTGCTAGTGTTATTAGATTGGGTGAGTTGTCTCATAACGACCCAAAATATCAACAAAATAAGTTTCTTTCAAACACTTCAAATAGTTTTAACCCATTGGAAAACACATCCATATAGCACATACTATATAGCTGATGCAACTGCGCCAATACTGACGCAGAGTTCGAATAGTCCAGAACATGTGAATCAAAGCTGTGTGTTAGATATATAATGGCAGTGAATAGCTTATGTTATATCACTCAGAATCCCTGGGCCTGGATAAGTTGGAAATCATCGAAGGATAACAGAGAAGGGTCTCAAGATCCTATCATAAGTGATACGTTTCCTTCAAACAAAAGAAGTTTGTTTATAACATGTGGAGTATATGTTAGAATGTTAGGGTTTGCCGGTATTAAATCCAAGTGAGTATATATACATTTTAAGACCTAACCAGGAACGACTGCGAAAAATGCAGCACAAGGTCCTCTGGTAGACTTTTCTATACTCACTTGGATTACAAACCCTAACATTCTAATATTAATTCCACCAAGTGAAGTGCAAGAATCCAAATCATTGGAGTATATGTTTGCGACGTTGTCTCTGAGTCAGGTGTCAGGTGGGAATCGAACTAGCGACATTTCGTTTGCTAGTCCAATGCTCTACCAACTGAGATATAAATAAATATATATATGTGTTTTTCTTCCTAAGTCAATTACTTGTTCTTCTGGTCAATTTTCAACAAGCGAGACGAATGACGCAAGTGTGATGTCATTACATGGCGACAAGCAAAAACAAGTTATATTTTATTCAACGCATTTCACTTTCAGAACTTAACATCTGAGAATACTTATTTCAATGATATCGTATTTGTTTCGTATATACATTCACCATATAAAATACAGCATTGGTTGGTTTCAGTACCATTCAGTAGGGGTCGCAATTAGTATGTCATCAGATCGATTGCGTGACAAATTATTCATTAGGCATTTAGGGTGTAAATATTCCTTTGAAATCTACATGCAACAGAAATTTCCTTCAAAATAGTCACAAAAATCTTATTCTAAACATTTTTCGTATTAGAAATTCGCATGACAAAGATATATTATAATTTAACAAAGAAAATACCTTCAAGATGCGAAATTATAAACCCTCGGAAGTATTAAAGTCTCCGGTGGTACTTTATTCCGCTATATGCAAAACGAGGCTATATAACGAACCGGTAATGATCGGTCGTCACCAGATCGAAGTAGACTATTTAATTGGTAAGTCGTTTGAAAAAGCTAAAAGTCTGTAATTTTCTCGATCCTCGGCAGTGTACCGAGACCGTTAAAGCTACAACAAGTTTATCGACGTTTAGATTGTGTAAAAGAATTGAGAAATATTGGAAATACAACCGTTTATTTTGGGCCGGAAATCATCAAAGCGAATACAGCTGAATTTTACGTGTGGACAAAATTCAGTAAATATACAAGGAACCGAAATCTAAACATCCTTATACAACAGATACAGCCAGATGGGTACCAAATACTATACTGGGTATGTTTTGTGTGCTATTTTAAAGTATCTTTAAAGCATTTTATGCCATTTCGTAACAAGCTTTTTATAGTCGTTAATAATGAAACTACTATCCTGTTGTATTACGTAATAATACATGCAGACATGCTTTACATTTCAAAACAGCGCTAAACGGTGTTTTGCCTAGCGTTTGTTTAATATACCTCATAGAATACAAAAAGGGGTTTACTAAACCGCGTATTAAAGGAAGCTGTGTTATTTTAATGTTCTAATGTTAGTATTAAATGTACAACATCAAATAGATGACTTGTCCGCCTATATAGCCTTAGGTCACGTGCAAGCAAGAAGAAGCATCGCGTGCAAGCGATTTTAACTATTTTCATTCCCTCCTTCTTCGTAATCGCCGGAAATGCTTAGCTAAGCGAGGCAACAGTTGGGAATTTGCGCAATAGTTGCTTGTAGTTTCTTGCTAGCTGAAAAGGACGAAAACCACAAGGCCGACTGCATATTTTTGAAGCTATTCACCCCTGATAAGCTTGACTGATTGTTCGATAGCAATGACGTCAAGCACTTGAGAGGGTTGAAAATAGTTGGAATACTGATGAGCAATTGTCCAATCCAATTACATGTAAGATGTAGCATTGTATAGATTAGGTTTCCCCTAAAACCTGACGAACACCAGTTGTTTGCGAAATTGCTACAAAAGCAGTCAATGCATTTGAAGATACCTGTTACTGCTACAATAATTGCATGTTTACATTTATCTTATAGCTATTTTTTTGCAATATTTTTAAACATCCTCTCTTTATCAGATTTCATTTGACTTAGGTTGCCCAATACCTTTTCCTGTGTGACATGACATGTTCTTGACACTTACACATTTTTTTTATCTTTGAGATGGGGGCCTATTATAGGGGTCAGCCTTTCTGCAAACCGCTGCGATTTTTTTCTCCTTTACCTTTAACCGCCAGTATTTCATAAAAGTGTTATCGGCCATTTTTCTGGGACTGATAGCTAAACATAGATTTATTTTCAAAAATATTTATGAAGGCTGATATTTAAAAGGATCTCACAAACACAAAATTGTTCAGACTTCAAACTTTGTAGCCTTAGCCTGACTTGGTGATACATTTGTTTGAGACAAGAGAAATAATCGTCAGATTTTGTTTTCTGAAGCCTCTAGATGGCTGTTCCAAGGCCTTCAAAGACCGCAAGAGTATGTGTGCATGCAATTTTAAAACTGTCGTCCTCAGATTAAATGCATTTACAACCGAAAACCACATCAGTGTTCACGTTGATATTTTCTAGAGAAAGTCATTTGTATGCAACCTGAGATTGGCAGTTAATTGGAAATTTATCAGTAGAAACTGTTAATTTTGAACAGTATTCATTAATTTTCTCATTTTATATGTCATTTCTGAATTTTTTGCACTTGATTCAAATGCCTTTCTTTCAAATTCATCTTTCAACTTTGTCATTCAGGTTTTCTAGGGGAGTGTGGGTCGCCTACTTCAGGGTTCATTTTGTTGTGTATTAATGAAAACTGTGAAATTTGTGGTTGCGTCTGTGGTTTTTGGTTTGCAATTATATGATTGTGGGAAACGGCAAACATTCAAATGAAATTTGATATTTATTCCTTTGTTGAGGTCTGCTGACTAGCATTTAAAAATCGTGTGAACTTTGGAAAAGATTTCTGAACTCATATTCTATTTAGTTAATAAATTATTAGTTTAATTGCAATTTCAACATACATGTGTATAGGCCAAAAAAAAGAAGACACATTGATTTTAAAAGAAATCGTAACCTTATAGGTTAATGATTTTCTAGTATTGCTGTCCCTTGGTTTATGAATTCTTTACAGGTTTTGATTTTTTTCTCTGTGTTTCATATGGTATATGTGTTAAAAACGTTCTGTGCATGCAATCACTAATGCAAAAAGGCTCTGAATAATCTTGGGTGTCCTTTTGCATTTACAGTGCAGTCTTTAGTCACAATAATTAATAATGTTTGCTTGATGTATATTGTATGCAAACAGCTGCATCTGAGTTAGCTTATAAACTGAAATTTGACCAGTTCCCTTTGTAAATATAGTCTTATATTACGTATCTTGCAATATTGTCATTCAGGTTTTCTAGGGGAGTGTGGGTCGCCTACTTCAGGGTTCATTTTGTTGTGTATTAATGAATAGTGTTAAATTTGTGGTTGCGTCTGTGGTTTTTGGTTTGCAATTATATGATTGTGGGAAACGGCAAACATTCAAATGAAATTTGATATTTATTCCTTTGTTGAGGTCTGCTGACTAGCATTTAAAATCGTGTGAACTTTAGAAAAGATTTCTGAACTCGTATTCTATTTAGGGAGCATTCATTTTTTAGCTGGGGGGGTGGGCCGGAGGAATTTGGGGGTGGGTCAGCAAATTTTGACATGCTTCAAAGGGGTGGGTCTTTTTATATTTTTGGTATAAATGGAGGGGGTCATAAAAATAATCAGTGAAAAAGTCACCAATATAATTTTATAGAATTTGGAAATATTTGGATGAAGAACGGTAAAAAGGTCTACAAACTATCAACTATCTCGTCATCTTTAACAAAGAAGCAAAATTTTGTTGGAAAACATTTCCATGACGTTTGTCAATTGACCTCGTTTTTATCCGTTTTTGTGTGAAAACATGAATGAAAGAAAACGCAGGACCGTAGCATGATTTCAAAATCATGCATGGTTTCAAAGTCTGCATGCATTTCATCTTAACTTTTATCAATTTTAAGCTTTATTAATTTTAAGCGGCTACATTATCCATGACAAACTGCAAAGAATGAAGATAGTACCCACAGTTTCCTGCAACTTATCCTAGTTATCCAATATATAGTTAATTAAATACGTGTTCGCCCATTTAGTACTACCAAATTGTCAATTTCGACATATTAAAACGCTGTTTTCTGACCATCAGAATTCTGTCAAATCTTCCCCAAAGTCCAGGAAATGGCATTTCAGAGACTCTAGATTTAAAAATTTCCTCGGGCCTTCGGCCCTCGCTTTCAGCCCCCCAATCAAAAAGAGCTTCCTACGGCCCTGAAACGCTACGGAAACGACACCGTGTGGATTATTAATAGTTAGGATGAGGGGTCAAAAAAATTTTCAGTAAAAACAATAGGGGGTCATAATTTTTTATCAACTTTTCTCTTGGGGGTTCCAAGTTTTAGCATGGAATTAGACATCAGTTCCTCCGGCCCACCCCCCCAGCTAAAAAATGAATGCTCCCTTAGTTAATAAATTATTAGTTTAATTGCAATTTCAACATACATGTGTATAGGCCAAAAAAAAGAAGACATTGATTTTAAAAGATTTTAACCTTATAGGTTAATGATTTTCCAGTATTGCTGTCCCTTGGTTTATGAATTCTTTACAGGTTTTGATTTTTTTCTCTGTGTTTCATATGGTATATGTGTTAAAAACGTTCTGTGCATGCAATCACTAATGCAGAAAAGGTTCTTAATAATCTTGGGTGTCTATTTGCATTTACAGTGCAGTCTTTAGTGACAATAATAATAATGTTTGCTTGATGTATATTGTATGTAAACAGCTGCATCTGAGATCTGAGTTAGCTTATAGACTGAAATTTGACCAGTTCCCTTTATAAATATAGTCTTATATTACGTATCTTGCAATATAGGCTGAAGCTTTCCATTATACATAGTTATTACAGGCATTGACTTGTTATTTTAGTTTTAAAATACAAGTCAGCAGGGTTTGAATCAGTTGAGAAAAAATGATGTGCAACCTTTTTAAAATTTTTTTTATAAAATTTGAAATAAATGACTAGACTTAAATGAACATTCAAACACCGGTTATTAAAGAAACTCAAATGTTGTTAGAGAAGATCTTGTAGTTCAAGAGATTATTATTGCTGCTTGAACATCCTTTTGTTTACAATTATTAATCTATCACTAGAAAAATAATGTGATTTTGCTAAATTGTGCACCGTGACTTATTTCAATACGTCAAAATCATCCCACCTCAATTCTTGTCCCGGCAAAGCGGGATCATGTGAACAGCTCCTTATAATTGTCCCTAACCTGCAAGTGGCACAGACTGTCGAGATTTCAGTGACACAGATGCTTGTAATGGTTTTCTTATCAGGCAAACAATTATAGGAAGACACAGCTGCCAACATGATGTTTAATTAATTGCCATATGACTTCATGTCTGGGCAAACATTGCCATTCACCACAAGTCTGCAACACTAAAGTCAGGGACGCCGGAACTGGGGGGGGCAGGAGGGACAGCCCCCCCCTGTTGCCCTTAACCAGGATGGGCAAGGGGGGCAAAGGTGCCCTTTCAATTTAAAGGATTGCCTTGGCGACTTAGCGAATTGTCAGAAATGTTAGTGCAATTCTTTTACGAATTTGCTTCAGAAAACGCAAGAAATGCAGTCGCCGCAATCACCTGGCGGAGAATCCCCTCACACCCCTATCATCCAATAAATAGAAAACATGATTAGGCGAAGTTCAACTTCCGATGTTTTGCAAACATCTCTTAGTATATATCAATTCAAAAGTGCCCTTTCACGAAAATCTGCCCCCCTTGCCTTCACATCGTTCTGGTGTCCCTGACTAAAGTAGTTCAAGGTTGAAGTTCCTATTTCCTTGGGAGAACTAATAGTAATAATCATTAAAAGGGTCTGTTGTGCTGTTAAAGAAAATGCATTCACGTAAAAATATTTATATTTACAAACTGTGAATAATTATGAAACACATTTAAGGCTTGAATTTATCCTTGGAACAATCTATTGTTGCACCAAAAAGACAACTTTAGATCAGATTCACAGGGAACCTGCAGATGGATCCTGAGAACCATTTGCAATTTCATCCATTGTCATTTTTTTCTCTGTGCAATTAGCAGTGCTCGAATTGAACGACTGTGTGGTTTTGAAAAATAAATCCAAAGCAAAATAGCAAATTTGAGAATGGTGGGTTAATTAAATTATTCCTTATTCATTTCTTATTTTTCAGACAAGAACACCTCAAGAAGAAGTCTCGTGATGCGGCAAGATGCCGCCGTGGACAACAGAATGACGAATACTCAGAACTTGCAAGTCAACTTCCATTCAGTGCCAAGGAATCGTCGCAGCTTGACAGATTGTCTGTTATGAGACTGGCAAATAGTTTCATCAAAGTCAAGCACTTTCTAAAAGATGTAGCAGGAGAAGGTGTGTACAAACGACATATCTGGCGTGTTTTATATCATGAAGGTTTTTGTGGTACACACATATTTGAAGATGCTGTACAGTCCATTTGCACATATATAAGCTTTGTTATTTTTTATCCAAATAATGAACCAGAGTATAGCTACATGCCGTCATTTTAACAATTACATTTAGCCAGCAATTTCACAATTTAAATCAGTAAAAAATGTAACTATAATATATATAAAAAAGATTGTTTAAATAACTTCAAAACTTTGCTCAAGAAAAATTGGGTACCAGATAAGTGGGAGGATGTCATGCAGCCTAAAATATATATTTGTCTGTTTTTAGTATGCAAAACAATGTCAGGTGACTTGCACTTCAAGAGTTTCTATTTAGCTCAGCTGGCACTAGAATGTCCCTTAAGAAACTCAATATTCTTTAACTCCAGTCTGAACGTCGCAGGATAACTGAAATTCTCAATTTCATTAAATTGCCGAATTTTTTAATCTCCTGGCTAACAACAACACCCTGTAAAATAAACGAAGTAGTGAAAACCATATATATTTTCTCGCCTTCAGAATAAACTAAATTATCAAGGTACTGTAGGAAATATATGCATGCACGGAAAGGATTGAACTGCATCTTTAAGACCTAATCAAGTCTGCATGCTTTGCTAGTGTGGCATTACAAATTTTGCAATACTTACAAAACTAAACAATTATAGGAAATTATGACTCAGCTTGTTGTGTATATTTTACTTTATAGATCTAATGTACTTGAATGGAAGCGAATCTTACGAGAATCAATTTCTTGAAAACAAACTAACCCAGGTATGCAGCAGTATTAGGAATTGTATTATAAAATATTATAGGTTTGCTTTAATATTAACCCTTTAAGTGGCAATGCACCCTCCTTTAATCTGTGGTATGCCAGATTATGACTTACTCCGCCCAATGCCTGGAAATTTTACTCAACAAGGGGAGAGTGCTTGCCACTCAATGGGTTAACTTTAAATTTTACATAAATGTTGATTTGCAAACACCTCATCGTTTGTTTTAAAATTTTCTAGGCTCTTGATGGGTTTGTGTTTGTCATTGGACAAGATGGACAGTTTTTATACATTTCTGATAATGTCGGCCAATATCTTGGTCTCTTGCCCGTAAGTATTCATTAATTTAAGTCATTAAATATCATCAAAGTTAAAGTCTGGTAACATTCTTGTCCATGAAGTATATTGCTTACAGTAGTTTAGTTTGGGTACAAATTGCGAAAAAAGCAAGATGAATGCACAGTATAGTTAAAGAAAGTAGCCAGCAGTAAACCTTATAACACCTGTGGGCTGGCCAGATCTCCAGTGGCTTGTTTTGAAAGACTGCAGATTCTAAAATACTGTAAGCTCTAATGCTTTTGGTTGCAATTACTGAACATGGCTAAAAACATTTCAACTTTTCATTGGAGGTCCTTTCCCTGGCAATCAACATGCAAGACGTATGTCAGCAGGGCTCAGCCAGTCAATGGACAATGACTAGCTGGCCAAAAATGCCTCTTGACCGGCCACTTTTTTACCTCATCGGTCATTTTGACTGGCCACATTTTTATGCCTTCCAATGTGATTGCTGATGTCTTGAACTAAAACATGAAACTATGATGTATTGAAACAAGTCTCTAATAGTTTAAGAACTGTGGTAAAGCATCAGTCAAATACAGATTTTGACCGAGCTAAAATCAAGTTGACTGGTCATTTTGACCGGAGACCTACAGTATTTCCTGTTATTCCGAGGCTTGGTCAGGAAGTCATTAACACCCTAAGAAAGGTCCTATACGTGCTAATTCTAACAAAGGCAATGCCCATACATTGTAACATGCTAGCACATTTGAGGAATCCCAGTTCTTCAGATCCTCACAATATTTACACTGATTTTATATTCCTATTCTAGGTTGAAGTAACTGGTAACAGTTTTTATAAGTTTATCCATCCTTGTGACCATGAGGAAGTTGCAAAGCAATTGGGAGGCAAAATACCACTTGAAGATATGGAAATTTTTGATGGCCTGTTTTGTTCTGACTCTGTTTTCCTGATGTCAAATAACCTCAAAGGAGGTGTGTACTTCTATAAAACTGATGGTGCTCTAAATATATAAGAACCTATAGTATTTCAAGAACCCACTGTTTGAATAAATGTTTAATTAAGCAAATTAATGAGCATTCAGCAAAAGCTTTGGGTAGATACAAGAAACGAATGTTGTTTTCATTCTCACGTAGCTGGCTTTTGATAAATTCTTGTAGACAAAGAATTGTTGTCTGTATTTTGGAGTTTGGAGGCAGTTCAATGGACCTTTCCCCTTATAACTAAAATTTCGATCTAGACAAAAATTTCATCACAGCTTGAAAGAACATCACACAATTAGTAATATTTCCAATGTTTTGTTGCAAAATCTTGTAAAATGTGGATAATATAGCCTTGCGAAGTTTGCCGTTTTTCAGTCATTTTGTATTACAAATGGGAAATTGACATCCGATTCGGGTGTTGGGGCTGCAATTTCCTGATTGTAATGCAAAATGACTGAAAATTGCAAACTTTGCAAGGCTCATTTTCCTCAATTTACAACATTTCACAACAACACTTTGGAATATTACTATTGCTGTGATGAAATATTTGTCTAGACTTGTCTAGATCAAAATTTTGGTTATAAGGGGAAAGGTCTATTGTTCAACAACAATTTTTTTGTCCCTCATTGAAAATTTAATTAATGATACATTGCATGTTTATAGTACTAAATGCATTCCTGTTTAATTAAATAGAAATGGGATGTATACATAAAAACAAAAACAATTCCGACCAGTGTTCATAGAAATTTTTACAACTTTCAGGATCTTCGCAAGATAATGACATTGGAACACAACCGTATCGTTCATTCTTCGTGCGCATGAAGAGCACACTTACCAGTCGAGGCAAAAGTGTCAACTTGAAAGCTTCGACATATAGAGTAAGTACATTGCATTGTACTTCTGTTTGTAATTATTGTCATTTGATTTTTTATAAAAAATTGTACATTAAAGATGATGTCCACTCATGTGCACATGTGCAAACTTTGTTTACGTTTTGAACTGCTATAGTTGTAAAATATGATATACTAACTGAATATCTAACACTTTTCTGGTTCGCTATACTTGTAAATGAACATAAACTGTACGTTTCAATTGAAAAAAGTTCGAAAGATGCAAAATTTGGGCAATGTTTATATCTGGGGGTCCCCCTTTGTTATCAGCAGAACTGATGCGCAGAACGGAGTGGACATCATCTTTAAACATAACAACAGAAATTGGAATTCCTAGTTATGCCATGTATTTTCTCACGCTAGGTTGTGCATTGCATGGGATGTTTGAAATTGTGGTCACCTTCAACTACTACTACCAATAGTACCAAGAAATGTCAACCATTCTGTTTCGTTGGCATTGGTGTACCATTGATGTTCTCACCAACCTTTGAAGTACCACTTGATCGATGTACCTTCACAAGTCACCATGCACTGGATTTCAAGTTTATTTTCTGTGAGGATGGGTAAGTGATTATGGTAATATTTTTGTGGATGATTTTCTTGTTTATTGGACTTGCTGCCCTGGTATTTATGGTTGGTGATGATGATGATGATGGTGACCAGTGATGATGATAATAGTGGTGAAGATGATGGTGGTGGTGTTGATGGTGTGTAGGGGTTGTGTGGTGATGATGGTGGAGATAGTGATGGATGGTGATTATGATAGTGGTGATGATGGTGTGTAATGGTTGTATGGTGGTGGTGGAGATGGTGATTTTGATAATGATAACCAGTAGTGGTGATGTTGGTGGTGTTCTATAGGTGACCATGATGGTGATAGATAATGATGTACTTTCTTTCATGTTTTCAGAATACAAGACATTCTTGGTTATTCAACAACAGATGTTGTTGGTCAATCGCTATACACTTTCAATCATGGGGTTGACAATGATGTCTTGACAGAATGCCATAAAACATGTATGTATCACAACACTATTGTTTTGTGCATGGTACATATGTTACTGTACTTTCTATTGGGTCTATAATTGCTTGCAGCCTGATCTTGCAATGTTGCCAGTAAAGTTTGGCATGAACCTCTAAACACCTAACTAAAAGCGAAGTAATGTAATTGATCATGCCTGGAAGTGATAGCACAAGCTGTCAATGTAAATATATTGAAAAGCAGGCCAACCATTGTTAGCCACCCAAGCAAAATCGTTATAATCCACACTTGTGTAGCACTGTACAAATTGCTTTACTGAAAGTCTGAAATCAACCTAGAGTATCAATAACATTGTCTTAATTTTATTGCAATTTGCAAACTTTTCAGTCTGCATATAACCTGTGGTTATAACATTGTATCAATATTTCCACAATTTTTGAAGATGTATAAAATATTAATGAGAATTTCCTTTTCCTTAGTACTAACCAAAGGCCAAAGCGTGAGTGGTTACTATCGACTACTGGCCAAGTATGGTGGTTGGGTGTGGGTTCAGACCAAAGCCAGTATCGTGTATGCCAGCAAGACCTGCCAACCACAGTTTGTCTTGTGTATACATTACGCTATCAGGTGAGAATCGGATCTTATGTTTTTGTAATACAAATTCAGAATGGAAAAAATGTTTTTCTGCAAATGAAAAGTCTCTGCCAATAATAAAATAAGTAAATCGATACTGGGATACTGTAACTGTGTTTAAACTAACAAGTTGTCAAACTGAACGTCATGCTATATTTTAAGGGAAAATATTAATTTCAGTGCACTGAGAATCTTAATACTTTTAGGGATAACATATCTGATCCTGAAGTAAATACAGATGCCAATAAAGGGCACTACTATGGGGCATTACCAGGGGGATCCATGCTCTCCAAGAGAATTTTGAAAATCAGGTGTCCCAGATTGGCTAAAATGCATTTGCCATACAACATTTGTTACCTCATTCTATATATAGTCTATATATACATTTGTTATATACACTGTTGCACTATTAAGATGCATGCACTTATAATTGCATTTCTGAGGTCATACGGTACAATACAGGTAACAATCTTTCTGTTGGTTAGAATTTTCCCAATAAATTTCTCATTTTAGCTAAATTTTGCAATAGTCTTATTTTCCCTTTCTTGGGGAAATATTTTCTGGGAGCTCAATTTTTTTTTGGCTCCGTGGTTAGGGAACTCGATGCAGACATAATAGTCATAATAGACCTTGTAATCTTTTTTTCTTCTTGGTTTATGCAAGAAATGGTCGGTTCATCGCCAGAGCAACCAATAGCTTTGCTTTCATTTAACCATTGTGTGATATCATGACTGGGTAATTGAACCAACACAACCAACCTTTGTTGGTTGGGCGAAAAAACCCACAATAAAAACCACGACAAAAACATACATACATGTACAGTAGATAATGAGGTCTGTTATGTCTGCATCGAGTTTCCTAACTTTCTTATTCTATTGTCTATGATAAAACTTGCAACTGATGGCTGCCGAAGCTGCCAGCTGTGTGCGAGAATCATAACTTATAAAGCAAAACGGAAATTGAAATTGTAGCAGTGTATTATAATACTAGACTGTCTGTACCAGTGTAGGTAGTACCAATGTGAAAATGCTGTGCTGAGTGGTTATATTGCTACCTTAAAAAATAAGCAGAAACTGGACGTTTCGAGCGAAGGCCCTTTATCAAGAGTTAGTAGTATATTAGTAGTGTTATAATACCATTTTAACCGACAGTTTTTTCTCCGTTTTTCCAGTGGTGTACAAAAGGGTGAATCTGTGGTTTCACTTGATCAACTTCAACGTAGCAAAGAGCGCCAAGACTCGCCAACGAACTCACCTAATGGCAAAGATAAGTACGTAAGTCTTGTGGAGAAATTGATGTCGAACAATCATGTGCTTGGTGCAACCTCAAATCTTACCGATATTACGGACAAGAAATCTGGTGGTCATGTGGACATTGATGCCGGATACGAAAGTCCGATCTCCGTGCACGAGGACGATGACGTTTCACGCGTCTGCACACCTGACTCACAGCGGTCAAAGGATTCCGGCTGCGAGGACAATGTCCCATATAAAACAGATTTGTGTGATAATGAGATGGACATGAATCCAGATCAGTTTGCACCATTTATTCCTCCGCCTGGCGGGAACACCCCGTTCTTTGCAGATTGTATGCAGATATGCTCAATGGACGAGACACTTGGCGATGATGACCTCATGTGGAGCAATGAATCATGGGAAATTTTAGAGCCTGAAGTGGACATGCGCACTATGAATAACGACGACTTCAAAAGAAACCTTTCTACTCCAAAGTTTTTTCCTTCTGAGGATGACTTGCCCATCTTGAATAGTAATGAAGTCGAAATGAGCACGCCTGTTTCAAACCTTCCTTTACTCGAAGGAAACGAGATTTGGTTTGCTTTGGATCAAGGCAGAGAGATCACTGTATAGTTGGCTTTATATGAAAGACATGAATTTGGAGTCATTGATGACCTGATAGACAGTAGGATGCAACACACTACTGAGTACTTTTGGACAACATGAATATGAGGTTATTCATTGATTTCTGATCAACCTTCCGGTACAACATAGTTTCAGGATTTTAATGTACTGTATGGCACACAGTATGAACAGACAATGTAGTGGAACAGACAATGTAGAGATGTACAGAGAGTGACGATAACACTGAATTGTGCATACTTTGGATTTAAGAATGTTTTGGCAAGTCCAACAGAGCCTGAAATATCGGTCATTTTCCGACCAAATCACAGTTTTTCCGACCAATGCTAAATCGGTCGGATATTTTGTCCGGACAAAAAAATAGCAATCAGTTTTCTTGAAAGACCGGGTTAACCATAAGCTGCATCCAATCATCCCACGAAGAATACAAATGGTTAAATGTAAATTAAAGCATTTTAACTACACTGTTTTGTGTTTGGCATAAAGTATTATTGGCTTAATTTACTCGACGAAGGCATGGAGTAGAAATTGAATCGAAAGAATGTCCGACCAAATTTGAAAGTTTCCAATCAAATTTCATTTTGCTCGGACAAATTTTTAAATGTGTTATTTCAGGCTCTGGGAGTCCAACAACAGGAATTATGAAAGATTTTTAGCTTCTATATATTACAGTATGTTTTTAGTTGCATTTGAATTTCTATGACAGAGGACAGTAGATTCTAGTAAGAGTTTATCTCCTGGTAATTGCAATTGTTAACTATAAGGTGGGTTTCTACTGTAGCTTCACTGGGGCCGGTCGAACGAAGGCCTGATAGTTTAAATTAAAAATATAACATCTTACCAAAAGGGAGAGTACAGGCGATCTCCAGTTATACTAGGGGACACCTTTGTCTTCGGACCTGGTAACTGTGTCCCTCGAAAGTGGTGTCTGTTTTATAGGGATGGTTAAGAATAGTATTTTATTAACATTGGGATAACCACTTGGAGAGGTAACGACCATTTTCACTGCAAATCACGTGGGCTCTATACAGAACGCGTCCATGCAGTCACGATCCAGCGATCGGATTGTTCCATTGTCTTTTCATTGTTTTGGAAGTCTCTGGCGAAGCCACCACCTTATTTAACAATTGCTTTATTAGAAATAGTTTGGATGAATTGTACAGTTTACCACATATGATAAAATGTGTCTGGGGACATTAAACAACAAGGAGTGAAAGTGCTTTCCAGAATTGGCTGCACTTGTAGTGTACTTGTGTGTTTTAATAATTTATTTGTAGATTAGGGATGTGTTTTAAATATAACTTGTCGAACAAGATAAATGTCGAATATCGTCCAAATTCACATTTCCAACATTAAATTTAGTATTGGGAATATCTATGGAGCTAACCTTAGCATGACCATCCGCCATCATGGCTGTTGTTGGTTGTGATTATATAGTCTGCGCGCAGCCGCGCAGGGTAGTTAGTGGCTTACGTCATCGCTGGTTGTTATACTTTAAAATAATTTTGTATATACCGATAAATCAATATTCCGAGTATATAAATATATAAACTGGGATGTCACACTGATAGCTTGTTTACATTTCCTGGAGCATCATGAAATCGTATGTTTAACCACGGTGGTTTATCCCATTAGCTGGCAATGCGCCCTTCCCTTGTCCAACGCCAGAAGATTTTACTCGTCAGTGGTATAGGGTACTGCCAGTAAATGGGTTAACAAACCTGTCTGCCAATGGCTCTTGTTAATTCGTCAACACAGTAATGGTCCCTACTTTAGTATTTACCATGTCCAACGCCAGACGATTTTTAATACTCAGTCAGTGGTAGGGTACTGTCAATAAATGGGTTAACAAGGATAACAATAATAGGATGTTTCTGAAGGACTCGTTCAACACCCCTGTAGTTTGTCTTTTGCTGTCAAAGGCAGCATTACTGCCCTGTGGGTAACCTAGTTTATTTGTAGATCAGGAATGTGTTTTAAATATAACTTGTCGAACAAGATAAATGTCTCAGAATTGTCCTATGATGTGTGAATTTATGAGAGAGTGTTGTATTTTTTTTAAAACAATAAATTTATGTTTGTGGTGTTACTCGGAGTGTGCATCCACACCGGGCAAGCTGAAAAGTTTGCCTGACCACGTTGGGAATCGAATGCTCTACTACCAACGAGCTGCACATTTTACATTTTATCACTGCACATTTTACATTTTATCACTGCACATTTTACTTTTATCACTGCACAAATTGGTTATCACTGCACACTAAAATTAGGTATGATGGAAAAGCATGAATTATAAGTTCTGAGTTGTTCCTACAATCATGGCAAAAATTATGTGGACAATTGACTCAAAACTCGTTTGCGCATGTTTCCCCCACCCCCTTGCAATGTTGATTGTGATAATCTATTTCATACAGCTTTACGTTTAACAAATGTATTAGCATTTCAACATTGAAAGGCGGAGGGGGGGGGGGGAGATGCTAAATGCTGTTTTTGCAAGAATTTGATAGGGGAAATGGTGTACTTTCATTTGCGCGCGCTGTCCACACTAATTTATGCCACGATATTGTAGATGCTAATCTGTCCCAGAGAGTGGTAATTTATAAGTCAAACTGGAAGCGTGCTCACATTTGACTGAGGAAAAATACAACTGTTTGGAATGGCGAACCAACTCTAGGCATTATGTCAATTTTACAAGTTATGACAGCAATATTTTTTTGTATAAATATTTTACGAATTCCCCGTTAAAATATCTTGTTTACGAAGGAGAGAGACCGCTTGCGTCATAAAGCTTGTTAATATGTACATAAATTAGCTATTTTTGAATGTTTACAACATTGGGGAAAGTACTAATTGTTATGTTAATGTTTCAGATTTTGACCTGTGGGCAAATCTCTTCGTAAACATTCAATCTTATCTGGACATCTATATGCAATCTTATATAAATTTTTTACTGCAATTTACAGTAATAACTTGACTGTATTCGTCTTGTTTTAAATTGCGCATAACATGCATGCAAGAGTAACTAGATGACCTCGACAATCGAGTCGACAGTAACCGAATTTGAGTGCTCGCATCCACCGCAAACCGGAATCAACTGGTACCGCCTATAACCAATATTCCGTTCAAATGCCTCAACGTAATGACGTCAGAAGCTGGAGTAGAGACGTCACCATAGACGTCATCGACTGGTCTCTCCATGTTAACTTATTTTAGCATGTCCGGGGCAGATAAAGATTATATTGATTATTCCCATGTTTTCCTGGACGAATTTGTTTCCTGCTGTTCTTTAGTCTCCTATGCAGACCTACTTTAGCGGGTCTCAGCCCGCTAAGTAGGTATGCGTAGGAGACTAGCTGTTCTTAGGCCAGTAAGTCAGTAACAAAGTAATTTTCAACCCTACTAAGCACAAAACATGAATAAGTATTTGACACGAAAACGAAGCAGGAAAAACTTGCAAAATACAAGTACAGAAAATATGTAATTTTTATTGAAAATGCGTGTAGGCAACCCGCAAATTTTACAAAGTTTTCTTGCATTTTTCGGGCGAGTCTGCTTGTCTGCAGACTGACGTCAAAAGCGAGTAAGCTCTGACCACTAGTGGTTCTAACAATTATCACAAGAACATAATCACCAACGTCTGTTTGTGTGTGTGGTGTTTTCTGAGATGAATATTTATTTTATAAACTTTGTTTGCTTTTCCTGATGAATATCGTTTTGCCAGTTTTAACTGCTTGTGTGTTTGCCCTCGTGAAATAAAGTTGTTATTTCTCAAATCCTATTTTCAGGATGGAATATTGATGATACCAAATTTTGCACAGTGATTGGGATTTGGGAAAGAACAATAACACGAAAATGACACACAAAAGGCATGCGCAAATCGTCCAGCATTGTCAACCTTTGCCTTAAACCACAGGTTTTCAACTTGGGGGACATGTCCCCGAGAGGGGACATTTGGCAAATTCCTAGGGGACACAAACTGGTCTAGGACTGAGAAAACAATAGTTGAATACAATAGTTGAATACAATAGTTTGTACTATAAACATGTTTGCTTGACTTTCTATCTATTATTTAAAATTTAAATCATTTACTATTTTACTAACTATTTCGAAATTCGTGTTTTTGATAGACTTCAGTGGGCAATTTCTGTTCAGGGGACGTGGTAATTCAATCATGTGAAATCGGGGACACATGAGAAAACCAGTTGAAAACCGTTGCCTTAAACTGTCGCATGAACTTGCTTACAACTTGAGTAGTACCGATTGACTGTTGTATTGCGTACACACGTAAAAATCTCACAACTTGTCAACAAGATGTGTTTGTAACAGGCTTGTAACAACGCTGTTATTATATCAAGTTGCCACAAGGCTGTCACTCACAACTTGATGACAAATTGTTGAATTGCAGGACGATAACAAGTTGTTGGAACAACTTGTAACACGTTTGTTGAGCTTCACAACTTTGTAGCAAGTTGTCAACAAGCAGTGCGAACAGACCTGTTGGCAAGAATTGACAAGTTGTTGGAACGGCATTGCTACAAGTCTGCTGCAGTACAACTTGTGCATTTTTACGTGTATACAACTCGAGTTGTAAGCAGGTTGCATGCGACACTTTTAGGCAAAATAAAGTTGTTGTGCAGTGCAATCGACCTTCTGTGAGGAACGAGGTCAAGTGGGTGCCAACCAGATCAGTGGTGCCAACGGCCACTTCCGTAATCAAATATTCCAGCTTTTGGCCGATGTTTTTTTTCTATAAAGGCATTGTTATTGTCGATTCGTCGTTCACTTAGCGACAGTAACGGTTGAGTTATCGATAGAAATTACACTACTGACAAATATTTAATTACATTTGTTTCTTGGAACGTTGGAAGATAATGAATGATGACAGCAAATGTCGAAATGTAGACAAAGGACATCGACGGAAATTATTGTGATGTGTCGAGATGCACATAATCTAACTTAATACTCATATTACAACACATCAGCGCAGTCGAAATATAGCTCTGTATGCGATGGTACGTGCATGGTTTTCCCCGAGTTTTGAGTGTAATTAATAGAATAACAATAGATATTTTCCCGAGAAAAATATTGATATGGGTAGTGCTGCGTCGCTTACAAATGTAGACCGCGAACAATTTGGGGACAGAGTCGAAGTCACGAAAAGTCTTCCTGTGGAAAGTTTTGGACAGGATAACACGACGAGCGCACAGATTGGTGAAAAGACGCTAAGTTCTGGTTCGATAAGCGAAGGCGGAATACGTGAACGCTCTACAAGTAAAACAAGCAAGTCCAGAAGATCTTTAGGGTCTTTTTTGGGTTTTAATAATAAATTTAAATGCGATGAAATCGAGCGGGCAAACAGCGATGGGAATTCGTATAACTCGCTCGAACTAGCAGAATATAAAATCACTCGCTTGCAGCAGGAGAAAGAACGGTTGAAAAGAGAGCTGGAAAGCTTACGAAAAAGTAATACGAAATGGCAAAATGAAACTCGGAAAGCGAGAGACGACGAGGGACAAGCTAAAGAAAGGGCAAAAACTTTTGAGGACGGTAGGTTAATTTTGGTCCACCAGTATTAAAATTGGTGTGTATCTAGTGTTGGTATATACTTGGTATCTCAAATGTGGGGGTCCGATGTGGGTATTTATATAATTTTACCATAAGTTGCCATAGTTTGTGTCTGAACTACTTAAAAAAAGATATCTCAAACGTGGTGGTCCAGTGTACATAGTGTTCTACAATAAGCTGCCATGGTTGGTGTCTGAACTACCTGATACCTGAAAAAGTTATCTCATACGTGGGTCATGTCCAGTGTAGGTAGTATTCTTTATTTATTTATTTATTTATACATTTATTATTTATTAAACTTTGCCAACACAAACGTGCATACAAACACGACAGGGACAACGAATGGCAGGGACACTATACAACAGTATAAACCAATTACTGTGGGCTATGCTGTGGGCCCTTCTACAACAATGTATCGATCAATTCGAAACTTCACCCCCCCCCCCGACCGACCCCGGGAATTTGAACTTTTTGAAATTTGACTGATCAAATTCTCCACCCCCTGTGCAAAAAAGTCTTCAAATGCCCCACTGTAACAAGAAATTAAGCGTTCAAATGCCCCACCTTCATATGAAAATTATGAAACAGTAGATACAAGAAGTACAAAATATACGGAAATGTTTTTCGACAAGATAGCGAAGTTCACGTAAAAAGTTTGGATACCTTGTGGAAATTTAACAGTTTTACACAATTATGTAGTACATACCTTCAAATGAAGCACATAGATTTTCCATGCCTGTTTCTTTGAGCCAGTTTTTCACAAAATTGTGGCCGTTTCCCTTGAGATCTGAGAAAACTGTATTTGCCGCCAATGTGAAGTATTTTCTGTGCATGCAGGAAGCACGCGAAAACGGGCAAAATTTTAAGACTTCCGGTTCAAATTCCCACCCCGTTATCAAATGCCCCACCACATGGAAGACTTAGAATGTCAAATTCCCTACTCCCTGGAGAAGACTTGAAGTCAAATTCCCGGGGTATGCCGGGGGGGGGGGGATGATGAAGTTTCGAATTGATCGGTACATAAGCTACCAAGGTTTGTGTCAGAACTACCTGAAAAAATATCTTGGTACAATTATAGAATACCTGTCCATTCTTGTCACACGACTGTGTGGCTACATGGATTCAAATTGTGTTGAATAACTTGAATAGGTTAGGGGTTAGGGGTTAGGGAAGGGTTTGGATATGGGTCAGGCACTAAATAATTTGAAATTTATCTTTTCTACCACAAGAATGTTACTGTTTGCACCATTAGAGTCATTAGAACAACATCGAAGCTTTAAATTGGCCTGGTATTCTATAATTGCATGCTCCGTTTGTTTTCAATACTGTAGAAAATGTGGAGCCAAATAAACATTATATGGTGGTCCAGTGTGCATGCATAATATTCCACAATAAGCAGCTATGGTTTTTGTCTGAACTCCTTGAAAAGGTTAAAAACACTCAAAATTTCGATTGAAGGGTCTTCGTCTATGACTAATATCCTGGATTAAGGGTCTTTGCCAAAACAGATTTTCAGATAGTTCAGGTATTTCAGGTTACAACTTGCCAGAGTTTACTAGCAGTAATTAAGATTTTGGTAGTGTCTTTAAATTCCAAGGCATGACACTACTGTAATCTAGACCATGCCTCAGTGATTGTTCTGTGTGATATTTAAGCCTAATATGGCAAGATATTAAGTCGAGAATTCATTATTATTATTGGGTAGAGGGGTCCAGGCCAGTAATGAATTCTTGATTTAATATTTTGCAGTGTAATGGGTTAAAATCAATAGGTGTTTTATTACATCGAACAAACCAAAACAATTCGATAACAAAAAACTGTCTTTGTAGACGATAATAATACAGTGAGAATACAAGCGTATAATAATGCTCATATATTCATACTGACATTATACAAGTACTACAAGAACTTAAGCCAAATGCAAGAGTTTGTATATTTGATACAACACGGACACAAATATTGTAAATGGCTTGCGAAACATTCGTATTCTTGAACAATTTAAAATAAATTAATGATATTTGGTGAGAAAATTGAACTTAAAGTTTCTGTAAATCTGTATCAGATATACAAACTCATGCTGATGATTTACATTTTCTTTATGGATTTATTAATAATCGAGTTTCACAACATAAAATCCAGACATTTTAACATTATTTAGCCTTTTTGCAGGCACATTCTCGATATATGAATTCTGCCCACAGGAATTAAATAGAAATATTAACGACCTCTGTTTTTTTAACTCTGGTATTAATTAAACTGAACATTGTTGACCACCATGCATCTGATGTTTAGTTAATTATTTAAATCCCCTTAAGTACACATATATATGGATGATGTCTTACTCAATTATATGTCTTATATATACATACATGCCAAATCCTATTTGTAAGCTTACAATAATATTGAGAAAATGTGAGACTTAAACAATCAAGGGAAACATTGAGAAAAAATACACTAAATACTCATTTAATTAAGGAGGACAATTGTTAATTATAAAGTGCTTTTGGCTTTGGGAAAATCTAATTTCAATAAGGATTTAACTAATGAATTTAATAGATTGAAGAAAGAAACCATTGCTCTTAATTGGACTACCTGTCCAAAATAAGATATAAAACAATCCTTTATTTGCTAATCTGGTTATTATAAAGCAGATTAATTCAACAGGCAAGGGCTTACACCACAGTTCAATATCCTAATTTTCTGACTGGCAATCGGGAAACTACTGTCACTTATTCGTCAAATTTTTGCACATTAATTAACAAAATCAGGCTCAGAAGTTAGAAATTTGATATTATCTCTGTACAGTAATTGTTTCTAGAAATATGCCATCTAATTGCTTTTAGAAATATGCTGTCTGAAATAGATTAATCCCAACTGTATCTGTGTGTATCAATTAGTTTACATTATACAGGTAATGCTTTACCCAGTAGTGTAACATAAAATGGTTATACTATTTACAGGTTAGAAAATTTTGTTTTTTGAATTCAGTACCCGAGGGCTAAACGAAGTCATAACAATAGCATGCCCCCAAAACTGTTTGGGTTTTGGATCAAATAACTTTTTTCAATTTTAGAAATCTTTTGCACTGTCTTGATACCAGGGTCTTAGCTAAATTTCAGACCGTATACCAGTTATAGTCAAATGCACAGTGTAATTATGCTCGCCAACAATAGACTATGCCTGTAGCTGTGGTTCTATATGATAAAGACCAAATACAAGACCAACATATGCTTCAATTTCACTCTGAAATTACAAAGAGTTATTATCGAGACTCTTGGGGGCATTTAAAGCTATATTTTGACATCAGCAGTCAGTACGTTCTCCGCTACATATATCCACCTAGACATAAAAACATCACGGATCACTTTACCAATTTCCACAAACTAGATTTTACGAACTTTCTTACGACGTAAGTAGGAGCAAATTATGTCTGTTGGAAGTAGCAATTGTTTTATTTTTATGAACCCATACGCTTTTGTATACATACTGTAAGCAACCTGTGTTCGTTTTATTTTGCCGTGTTTTTCTAGTTTTGGCTGCGGTAACACGCCTTCTAGCTATAAGACTTTGCTTCACACAGCAGGAGATGTGTTAACAAATTGCTGAAAAAAACAACCTGAGGTCTGCTTGACCATTTTGCATCTCCCCTGAAAAGCCATGCACCTCCCCTTGCCTTGGCCTTGGGAAAGTTTCAATGATAGATCAGAGTGAGAATTTTACATTTTTTTGTTGGCTTAGGGTCTACACTGATACGACAGTCATAGCCATTTTATCTTTGCGTCAAGTACCCTTTTAACGCAATGTTTTGAAAGAAACTTTGCAGTAATTGTATTGAAGGGCAAAATTGGATGAGTTGTACAGTCATAATTCATTAATACACTGATACATATATGTACACTACATGCATATGTCACGTCGTTGACTTTGGCCCGTTCTAAGCCCGAACTTTCCATGGGGGTCGTGAGCTAGATCGCTGCACCTCCCCTAAATTTTTTTCCCACCTCCCCACCACTATTTCCACCAAAATCCGGCCTTGCAGTAAAAACCATACTAAACTACGCTCACAATTACCATCCGCGAAATCCTTCAACAACTAAGAGGAAAGTGGTTAATTTTGGCATCCTAAGACCACTGGCTCAGTGCCAGATGGTTTTATTGACTAAAAGCTACTAGGAAAAAAAAACACTGACCCATTGTTTTCTGTTGTTCTGGTAATCCAATGAAAAATGAAACTCTGACATAATCTCGAAAGGTCTATATGCTAGCATAGGGATAGCGACGATAAAGACAGCTTTTGCTGATTGAAAGAGATGGCAACTACTTGAAAATATAAGAAGTTCTGCTCATATTTTTCAGATACAATACAATATACATAGAGAATAAAACATGGGTGCGCGGAAATACCAGATTTATTTCGAGTGTTGAACATAATATCTAAAGAGTGAGCACAGCGAACGAGTGAGATATCATGTTGGTATTTCCAAGCATCCATGTATTTTTCTGTTTATTATATAAAGGACAGTCTTTATTTGAAAAGCGATAATTTTCACAGATGAGCTATAATTGAAAAGCGACAATTTTCACATGTGTGATTATCATAAATAATCTCACATGTGAGATTATCAGTTTTATGAGTGCTCGAAATCTCGGCTATAAAGCACTATACTTTATATAATAAAATAAAATACACTTTATTTAACGAGGGTAACACCAGTTACAAACGTATTATTCCTAGTGGCCCTCGCCCTTTTACAGTATAAAACCCCACAAAGTTAGCCTAAATAGGTTCTTATATGTTCATGGTGCTTACAAGGAAATTGGGCTAAACAGGCTCTTCATTAGGTTCTTATTTTCTTAACAAAAAAGCGACTCATTTTTATAGGTGTGGACTGTGGTATATAATTTATATTAATTATGCACAAATTATCTAACAGTCCATGATGCTGGAAAGCATTGCTTATACAGTCACTAGTCGTTGAGATTGTCATGTAGTATTTTCACTGAAGAAATACAATTATTTGCTGTTGTGTTCATATATAGACACGTTATTTATCCGAATGGCATTTCCAGGGTTCTGGGTCATTTTCATTTAATACTTTGTGAGGAGCTTATTTTCTTTGATTTATAAATTTTTACTTTTGACTCTATTTGATAAAATAAGAACCTGCATGGAAATTCTAGCCTGAACAGGTTTTATTTAATGCGGGTCTAAATTAAAAAAATAGCCTAACAAGTTCTTAAATTATCGGTTCTTATTTTCGGGGTTTTACTGTAGTTGTGTTCTCTTTCGATTGAGCCATCTCTTTACTCTGATATACTTTACTATTTGCAAGCCAAATATTTAAATCAAAGAACCACGGAGAGCATTATTAATCTCATTTCCATAAACCCATTGATTAGGAGACAAAAGTGATACATCATTTGGCTGATTTGGGTTGGGCTTATAATGCCAAGGTGCCAAGTATGTTATTTTTTCACTTTGCATGTAAGGGCAGAGCAGCGTTTCCCTTAATCTATTCCGTAGTCTTAAAAATTTAATCTGTCATGGATGCTTGAGTTTTAATCTTGAACGGAGGTAGAGCCAATAATAAGAAAGCTTCGAATTGATAGTGTTGCAACTACCTGAAAAATACAAGGAGAACGTCGACGTTTCGGAGCGCAGACCTTTCGTCTGGAAGTTATATATAGTGTTAGTGTCTGTTGCATAGATGTCGATGACAGATTGTTTTGCACGGAGCTAGTGAAACTGAATTTAGCGGTAAACTGTCAGCATCTTCACATTGTCAAATTTATGAAGTTTCGGTCATTAATTTGTAGAAAGAATAGCAAAGTCGGCATTATAAGCCAATCACCCCCTTGGCCTTTAATGGATTACGAAAATGAGATAAACAAAAAGTGTCTTGGAAAAATGCTTAGCAATAACATTTTTTCTGCGGTACATATGTCACCACAGGAGATGGTAATAGAACCATCTGGCATCAAGCTGGCTGAATGAAAATACTAAAATAGAATTCCTGAAACCCACTTTTTCTCTCACGCATGTCAGCGTTGTTGATATAAGAAGACTTTTTAAATATATATTTTGACATTTTAATAAAGATCGGCAAAAATTGTTATGCACCAAGAGAATAGAGTATAGGTCGTTTGCAACTCGTCTCAGACGCGGCTACAAAACAAAGTCTGTCGAAGTATTTTGTTGGCCTGGTTTCAGTTACTGCCTATTTCAATATTTGTACAGATGTTTAGTAGTTTTTACGACATTTGTGTAATTAACTCTATATAAGAATGCCGTACTACTCCATGCCACTGTAGGAACAAACGAAAATGCAGAATAGGCAGTAACTTAAACCAGGCAAACATTACACTATAAATATTTCTACAAACTATGTTCAGCAACCAGCAATTGATGCAAACTGCAAACGACCAACCGCGTATTCTCTGATTTTGCGATTTACAGCGCCGCGTAATATAAATTACTGTTTACTACAGAAGCCATATTTCAACGAGTTTATCAACATCAATGACATGCAAATTCGTAAGTCAAAATGTCAAAGTTTTCTCTCACAAAACAGTAAATCAAATGTTTTCACAGCTATAGATTAATCCGTGTATTTGGTGGACAATGGTTTATTTATTTTTCAAGTGACTATATATTTGGCTGTGTTTGATTGGCTGCATATGTTCGTGTTTGGACGTGCAAATTTTTCGAACCATCAAGCAGATTTCTGCCGTTTGCCGACATATCAGCTGCTGTGTCAAGACGGTGCTGAAATTCCTATAGAATTAAGACGCTTAAACTAAAACAGAAACTTCGATGGGCTACTGTTGTGATTGCCATTATTAATGTTAGCTTATTGATACAGGGATTATCTTTGTCTAGGACAACAATTTTTCTGAATTTCTTCTTTTTTTTTATCAATTTTACTGAATAGCAGTTGAAGGATCAGACAACAGAACAAATAAAGTCCTAAATTAAATCCTGCCTGACATGCCACATTATAACAACACTATCAACGTTTCTGTGATCACAGTATAAGAAATGTTTGAGGGAATGCATGATTCAGAGTTGAACACTGAATCTGAGTCAATTCCCTCAAATATTTCTTACAAACCATGATTGTTCAATACATACGAATCTGCTAAAGTTGTAACTGGTGCCATTAGATTAAGCTAGGTACTATATAGTATTATTATACCACTAGTTCAATAATGTCTAAAGCCCTGAGCAAACTAGGAAACATTGTTGCGGGAAACATTTGTAATTCTCGATGTTTCCTCAAATGTTTCCATGTTTGCCCACCCGTGAAAGCATTGTTGCGGAAACAAAATTTGCTTCCCGGGAAGCAAAAAAGTTTCCTACCAACTTCAGAAACATTTGATGTTTCCCTATGTTTCTCACTAATGTTTCCTAGTGTTTGCCCACTCTGGGAAACATGGCGAAACATTGCCATTGGTAGGAAACATTGCCATTGGTAGGAAACAATGTTTCCTAGTTTGCCCTGGGCTTAATATATATAGTTCCAAATATATATAGTAGACATTATTGAACTATATAATATACAAATAATGAATGTTTATTCGTGCAATGGTAAGAATATTTTCTTTCGGTGAAAGATGGAATGTTCCATTCAACGAGGCGACAGCCGAGTTGAATGGAACATTTCATCTTTCACCGAATGAAAATATTCTTACCACTGCATGAATAAACATTCATTATTTGTTTTATATAATACCAATATAGACTAATAGACTCGTATGAGAAGCATTTTGACGGATGCGATTTATCGAAAACACAAAGTCAAAGAGTGCAATGGAATAAAACATATAGTATAATTGCACTCGCAAAGAGTGCAATGGAACGTATTCCATTGCACTCTTGGGAAATGAATTCAATTCACGTGGCCATAAACAGCCAATTAAACGATCAGAATTCAATAAGGTATTCTATAATAGACATTATATTTGACAAAAGGTTGGAAAGATATGAAGATATTCATGAATTAATATTTTGACAAGTTTGTGCCTAACTATTCGAGAGCGCTATTAAGTGTTTGAGCGAATTCATTATTTTTTGAGATCGCAATCTGATTTTACATTATATTTTCGGTGCGCACTGAGTGTTTCAAAACATCTTTTTTCCATCTGTTTCCAAAATATGGAACGATTTAGATACATCTATACGTAATCTTCAGCCAATTTCTCGTTTCAAAAAGGGATTTTTAGATTTTTTAATCTTCAGTGTTAAACAATGAATCATTTCCCTATAAACCATTTCTTACAAATCCTTCAAAACTTAGACTTTATCTTTGCAAAATTCCTACTGTGATCACAGAAACTTTGATAGTGTAAACCAGACATTATACACGTACAATAAATTCGCCAGACGTGTGCTTTTAGGAACAACAATTAATTTCCTGGAAAGAATCCGATTCGATAGTCATGCATTATGACAGTATCCTGCAGTTTTCTAATTCAAATATCTATAGGGTCAGGAATGTGAGGTCAGCACAGTCTTGATTCCAGAAACTCCATTGGTGACTGTAGGCCCTTGAGTTTAGTGTCACTTGACGATAAAGAATAACAGATTATTAAGTAGGGGTAAGACAACTTAATAAAGAGTTCTGTTGCTTTAAAATATCCAGTTTCAAGTGGCTTGCAATGGGTCAGATGATGGGTATCAACACAATCTGAATTTATCTATTCTAGTCTAAGAAATTTAATCTGTGATGGATGCTTGAGTTTTACTGTGTGTTGAATGTTGATAACAAAAGCATGCGAGAACACACAAAGGGGTAAGGCAATTGGATGGTAGCCAACTATAGGGCCCATTTTGCATGAAGTTGAAAATGAATTTAGTTGTAAACTATTAGTGTCTCCACATTGTCAATTTATATGAAGTTTTGGTCATTTATAGTTCTGTCAACTTCTAATTTACACTATCAAAATTTCTGTGATCAGAGCAGGTTTTTTAATTTAATAAATATTTATTTATAAATATTTAGAGCCATACTGCTCATCATCAAGGGGGCACACTTTTTTTTAATAATTTACGTGATTTACAACAAAAGATTCCAAACAGATAAAGCAGACAACAAAACTACAAACAATTCAATCAATTAAATGATAATATATATAGAAGGATATACATAAAAGTTGTTAAAAGATGGATTTCAAACTAAATCAAATCTCGTATATGGAAACGATGATTCTTTGATAAAAATTTGAACATGCAGGTGAAAGTATACGCGTGAATGAGGATCCAAACAAAAAGACTCGTATCAGCAATATGAGAAGCAGAGGTGAACAGCTTTAATCTAGCTAGGAGCAGCGAAGATCGGACAATGTATAAAATATAAGATTCATGCAAATTCAAAACCACAAGAACATTTTGGAGATGGTTTACAGCCAATTTTAAATAAATATTAACAGTTTAGACCACAAGCAGCAATATTTGTTAAACATTTACTGTATAAATACACGATTACTTGTGGCTATTATGGGTTGGCAAACTTCGACACTAATTATGAACAATTTTATTCATTGCACCGTGCTGCCTAAGGGCGCAAAATAGAATTAGCAAACGGATGTATATTGCCTGATTTAGTATTAATTTTACCACAATTGGTTAGAAATTAAGCAAAGATTGCTTAAACATTGCATAAAAATAGTTATAAATTCACATTGCTGTGAATAACGCATGAATTTCGAAGTGCAGTTCCGGTAAAAAGGGCAACTTGTTGCCCCCGTGCTGCCCCCACACTGTTTGGGCAACAGGGGCAGTTGCCCCCGTGGCTCCGGCGCCCTGCCTGCCTTTTGTAACGAGAAATTGGCTGAAGATTACATATAGATGTATCTAAATCATTCCACATTTTGGTAACAGATGGAAAACATTTTTTTTGAAACACTCAGTGCGCACCGAAAATAATGTAAAATTAGATTGCGATCTCAAAGAATGATGAATTCGCTCAAACACCTAAATATAATAGCTCTCTCAAATAGTTAAGCACAAGATTGTTAAAAATGTTAAAATAAAATATTTTATTTTATAAACATAAGTGTTAATATAGAGTTTTTGGCCACTGGCACTGAGAAAAATCGTATTTAAACACACGTAAAAAATACGATATTTTTACGTGTGAAAATATCATTTATTGTAAAACGCATTGCCACGGACGTTTTATTGTTTTTCACTGAATTTTGTTTATATAATAAACAGAAAAATACATGGGTGCTTGGAAATACCAGATTTATTTCTCGTGTTGAACATGATATCTCACTCGTTCGCTGTGCTCACTAGTGAGATATCATGTTCAACACGAGAAATAAATCTGGTATTTCCGCGCACCCATGTATTATTCTCTATTATATAGTTGATGAATATCTTCATATAACCTGTTTCTTTTGTCAAATAATGTCTACCAGTAACAACTTTAGCAGATTCGTATATATTGAACAATGGTTTATAAGAAATGTTTGAGGAAACTTACTCAGTGTTCAGCTCTGAGTCATTTCCCTCAAAAATTTCGTACAAATCCTTCAAAACTTAGAATTTACCCATGCAAAATTCCTACTGTGATCACAGAATCTTTCAATTGATAAAGTAAACCACTAGCCTTAGTTAAACCAAAATCGTGTATACACCATTCTTATACTTCAATGCATGGGATTAATGATACAAGATTATAACAAGGCGTTCTGTGGTTGCTTATATAATGGCAATGCGTGAGAAAAAAAGTCTTAGGGAGAGATTTCGTGCTGCGTCAACAGACAACACAGTGCCCGAATTCCTGGAAATTTGATCTGAAACCCATGCAACAATCTCTGGTGCGGTTATTGTGACTTCGTTCGGATAACGGGTTAAAAACGTAAATTTTCTAGCCTACGAAAAGTACGGCGTTGTTGCTAAATTTCTTTATTCATATAAGCCAATTGATACACAGGCGTTAATCCACTTCCGAGAACAGATTTATGAATTTTCCAGAAACAATCCGATAATGAATATCAAATTTCTATAACTCATGCTGTGGTCAACACAATATGAATGGGCTATTCAGGGCCTGATCCATTCCAGACTTTTGCGGTATCTACTGATTTTTGCCAAATTACATGAAAACAGTCCGGTGGTCTTTCTCGGAATGTTTGTTCAATACTCGAGTATTTTCACGGCTGTTGACATGTAATTGACCATTTGCGTAATAGACTAAATTTTGAACTAAACAAGTCTAGACAAAAATTTCATCACAGCTTGAAGGAGCATCACAAAATTAGTAATATTCCAAAGTTTCGTTGCAAAATGTTGTAAAATGCGGAAAATATAGCCTTGCGAAATTTTCAATTTTCAGTCATTTTAGATTACAAACGGGAAATTGACAGCCCCAAACCCTTCGAGGCTGTCAATTTCCGGTTTGTAATCTAAAATGACTGAAAATTGCAAATTTCGCATGGCTATATTATCCGCATTTTACAACATTTTGCAACGAAACTTTGGAATATTACTAATTTTGTGTAATCTTTCAAGCTGTAATGAAATTTTTGTTGAGATCAAAATTTAGTCTATTACGCAAATGGTCAATTGATAAGGTCCAGACACACCACACCGGACGCGATTCGACAACGCGACGCGATTTTTCGATTTTCATTGACCGATAACTTTGATTCTAGTTTAAATTTTCCATATATTTAGAAGCGTTATAACATTTTGAGTTATTTGGTCTACATATCTTTCAAAATTTGCTCTCATTGGCTGTTTTATTAACTTTCAAAAACTAAAAAATCGCGTCGCGTTGTCGAATCGCGTCCGCGGTGTGTTATGGATTCATGACTTATCCACTCGTTCACATCCATCATGCAGAAGAAGAAAATCGCACCTATAAAATCGCAGCAAAAATTGCAAGTTAAACGGGCTCTTATAGAATAAACTATCTATCTATCGATCGATACCGAAAATACCAAACATATTTTAATATTTTCGGTACCTCGATATATGATGATCATGTTTGATACACATCGAATTAAAAGAATGAATTGCAATGTGTTTTGCAGGAATAGAACTTATTAACATACGATATAAGAAAACTACAATTCTAAATCTAAAACTAATGTAAGACTACATATGACAATAGTATATGTATTGCAATAAAATCTGATATAAATTAGGAGTATCAGTTAATTTAACGTTCCTTGCATTAGCTATAGAGATTGTTTTTTTGGGGGAAAACTGTTCTTAAAACGGTCCGTTCTGCACATATACATGCAGGGTGTCTGTAAAAAAGTGCATGAACCTTTAGAAATTCACTTATTGTAATTTGAATGCCTGAGTCCAAAACTCAACCCATGGGTATAAGTAAACACGATTGCCAGTAAAGTTTTTGGTATCCTTCAACATATGATTATGTGCTAATTAATTTACAGGAATAGCTTGTAAAAACAGTAAAAACTCTTTGCTCTGTAGTTCCGTTGAACCATTTTTAATCGAACTTGCGGAACTAGTTTCTATATCTATATTATTTCAATTAGGATGATGCAGTTTTAATATGCTCGTACGATTATAATGCATTCGATTACATGTTGTGATTGCCATCATTAATGTTAGCTTATTGATACAGGGTTATCTATGTCTGTGCATGGCAACAGATTTCTGAATTTCTTCTCTTTTATCAATAACAATAACAATTGAAGGCTTGGACAACAGGACAATTTTTTTTTATTTATTTATTTATTAACCCTATACGTCCTTTTATACAGGAACAAATAGATGATAAATTTAAGAATATACAAATATAGATGAAGGACAAATAAGGTTTAAGGTAACAACAATCCCATATTTATAAGCCAACCCAAGAACGACAATACAGGGTGTTTAAAAAAAGCAGACCTTTAGAAATCAACCATTGTTACAATTTGAATGCCTGGAGCATTTTGCTAAGCCCACGAGTGCGTAACATGACCATGTATGCATGGCATATTGTTTAATCAAAAGATTTTCCCAACATGTTCAAAATATGAATTGATTGTACTTTGAGTCTGGGTATAAGTTAAGACTGTAAAAACTCTTTGTTTGGGGTCAGTTGAACAATTTTTGTACTGATGTTGTGGCTAATTAGTAATTTGACCATTTTTCTTTATGCATGCTATTAAAAGTTATTTTCAAATTCCCAGCAGCAGAAAATCCGAGAAAATCTTGTGTTTCTAAAGGTCTCCTTTTTCTAATATATGCCCCCTGTCAATCAAGCTGTACCCTCATCTGAACATTCTTAACTTATCCACTCGTTCACATCCATCAGAAGAAGAACATCGCAGCAAAAATTACAAGTTAAACGGGCCTTTAGAATAAACTATATCTCTCTATATCTATCTATCTATACCGAAAATACCAAGCATATTTTAATATTTTCGGTACCTCAATATATGATGATGATGTTTGATACACATCGCATTAAAAAAATTCATTGGAACATTCCATCTTTCACCGAATGGAAATATTCTTACCATTGCACGAATAAACATTCATTATTTGTTTTATATAATACCAAAATAGACTCATAGATTCGTATGAGAAGCATTTTGACGGATGCGATTTATCGAAAACACAAAGAGTGCAATGGAATAAAACGTATAGTACAATTGAATTGCACTCGCAAAGAGTGCAATGGAACGTATTCCATTGCACTCTTGGGAAATGGAATTTTCTATTCAATATCACGTGACCGTAAATAGCCAATGAAACGATCAAAATAAGGTATTATATAAAACTTACTAACATATATGATATAAGAAAACTACAATCCTAAATCTAAAACTATTGTAAGACTACATATGACAATAGTATATGTATTGCAATAAAATCTGATATAAATTAGGAGTATCAGTTAATTAACGTTCCTTGCATTAGCTATAGAGATTGTTTTTTGGGGAAAACTGTTCTTAAAACGTTCCGTTCTGCACATATACATGCAGGGTGTCTGTAAAAAAGTGCATGAACCTTTAGAAATTCACCTTATTGTAATTTGAATGCCTGAGTCCAAAACTCAACCCATGGGTACGTAAACACAATTGAATCGAATTTTATGCATGGAAGTTATTTAAAAGTTTTGGTATCGTTCAACATATGATTATGTGCTAATTAATTTACAGTAATAGCGTCTAAAAACAGTAAAAACTTTTTGCTCTGTAGTTCCGTTGAACCATTTTTAATCGAACTTGCGGAACTAATTTCTATATCTATTATTTCAATTAGGATGATGCAGTTTTAATATGCTCGTACGATTATAATGCATTCGATTACATATGTTGTGATTGCCATCATTAATGTTAGCTTATTGATACAGGGCTATCTATCTATGTCTGTGTCAACAGATTTCTGAATTTCTTCTCTTTTATCAATTTTACAATAACAATTGAAGACTTGGACAACAGGACAATTTTTTTATATTTATTTATTTATTAACCCTATACGACCTTTTATACAGGAATTAAACAGGAACAAATAGATGATAAATTTAAGAATATACAAATATAGATGAAATAAGGTTTAAGGTAACAACAATCCCATATTACTAAGCCAAGAAAGACAACCTTTAGAAATCAACCATTGTTATAATTTGAATGCCTGGAGCACAGTTTGGTTTAATTAAAAGATTTTCCCAACATGTTCAAAATATAAATTAATTGTACTTTGAGTCTGGGTATAACTTTTTCTACTGATGGTGTGGCTAATTCCCAGCAGCAGAAAATCTTATGTGTTTAAAGATTATTTCAATTTCTAAAGGTCTATAGCTCCTTTTTCTAATACTGTATATGCACCCTATCAATATTTCACGCACTACGGTTCAGCATATGTGCAATTGAAAAGGCATTCAAATTATAACAATATGGTTGATTTGTAAAGGTCTCCTTTTTTTATACACCCTGTAGTTATAACATACATAAAAAAAATGTACACCCTTTCAAATTCAAATTAGCCATAACCTTTTAAATATTCGTTGCTCTGCAGTAAGCTGGCCTTCACTGGGTCTTCAAGGTCTTCACTGCACATGGGAATTTAGGATAACATCTATTTGTATGAACAACTACACAACTCAAAGAAAAATGTTTAAATTAAGCATTATTCAAGTCCGCATAAGATATAAATATATCTTATGCGGACTTGAATAATGCTTAATTTAAATATATCTTATGCGGAATTGAATAATGCTTAATTTAAACATTTTTCTTTGAGTTGTGTAGTTGTTCATACAAATAGATGTTATCCTAAATTCCCACGTGCAGTGAAGACCTTGTGTTTTCACGCATTCATTAATTCGAGAAATTATACGGCTGTCAAATTACTGTACAATAGGTTACGGTTAATTTGAATTTGAAAGGGTGTACATTTTTTTGAAACACCCTGTATTTAAGCCGGTTTTCCACTAGGCGGAATTTTTCTTTGTCTTGTGATTCCTCAGGTGGAACTAATTAGAAAAGACGAAGAAAAATTCCGCTTCGCGCGCAAAACTCCGCCTGGAAAACCGGCTTTAAAGACACAAACGCACATCCACATAGTGATATATTTAAAAACAAATATTATCATGAAAAGTGCATGAATGCAACAAGTTGGGTTGTAGTGTAGTGTAGGGACGGCACTTGGAACAATGGTGAATGGGTCTTCTAAGCGCGCAATTCCATTGACGTCAAAGGTATATATATATTCAAGTTTAGCGAGAATACATGCAGATTGTGTTTGAAAGAGGAATTAGAGGTATACATTCAATGATATAAGCGGGAAAACTGCTCCCAAGAAAAACAATCTGGTTGAAAAATGAGTCTCTAAGATTAGGATTTAGTAACCTTTGTTGCTTTGTTTGTGCGAGAGTCTGAAGAGAAGGTGAAAAATAGAGGTCAGAGGTAATGAAGTTTGGATGTTTACAACAAGAAGGTGATTTTTGAAGGTTCGCTTTTTTTTAGACACACTGTATATTGTCCAATTGTTCGAACTTCTAATTAAAGTCGTGGGCGGATGCCCTGTTTTGGGTTACATATAGCTCTGGTCGTCCAAGGAAGATAATACGCACGGCTCGCACATATCGAAAACCCAAATATGGAATAACCGATAATTTTAAAAAACTGATATTAATCGATATACCACAACAGCCTAAGATTGGCTAACTCACAAAAATCTAATCTACAGCCATGTTGTGACTGCATGTTTTGGGAACAGAGAGCTACGAAACAAATATGTCCCAAGAGCACATGCCTTTTCAATCTTTACCTCCTGTCAGCTTTGTAAAGTAAGAAATAGCATTCTAAATAAAGACCATGGAATCACAAGTTATCTGAACTTGGCAGTTCTGGGTCGAGTATATAGTGTCACTTGGTGACAAAAGCATAAAAAAAATTAATTAGGGGTAAGACAACTTTTAGGAAAGCAGCCAACAAAATGGTTTGCCGCTTTTAAATATCCAGTTTCCAACTCAAGTGGCGCTATAGGTCAGGTAGTAGGGTCAACACTGTCTGAATCTATTGTAGTCTTGAAGAGTGGAGGTTCAATCTGAGCTTCCCTTGAGTGGCAATGCTGTTTATATGAATAGCTGGAGAGTGAGTAGTCGCATAGACGAGACTAACCCTTCAGCTATTCAAAAACAGCACTTTGAGTGTGAGCGTGCTTTTAGAATACAGACGTTAGAATTTTAATCTGTGATGGTGCTTGAGGTTTAGTGGTCTGTTGAGTGTTGACGACGAAAGCATAAAGTAAACGTTATTGAAGCTACACATTGCGCAAAAGTAGCAAGGTCAACTGATGTTTGGCCATTTATAGAAACATTTGTTTTAACTATCCCTGAAACAGGGGTTGAAATTACCTGACACCAGGTCGCCATTTGCGAGCAGATATTTGAAACTGTGGCGACTGAGAAAGAATTGAAATTATAAAGTAATTCTAAAGCCTAAAAATATCTCCCCTCAAGTGTTGAAACTTAATCTTTCGAAGTTTTTTCTTAATCTGTCTTAATAATGGCTGTAAAAGGAAAAAAGTACTTCATCGTTGTATGTGCTTCAGCACTTCATTAAAAGCATGCTTTTAAACTATTATATTTTTGCTCAAAAGTGCTGTCCGAATGCGGAAATATTATTTCATAGAGACAAAGTCAAGAATTTTACTTGGGGGGTAAGGTTTTGGTAGAAGTGGGTTAGTGTTCTTCTAAAACTCAATCTTTCGAAAAAAAGGTAGCAGACTAAAATGCTTATATTGACATCTGGTAGGGATTAATACAAGGCCATTTGAAGGCATTTCATCATTAATCGACCGTAATGCCATGCCGTCACCTTGTAATATCATAGCTACCGAGACAATAAAACGATTTCTGACAAATGAATCAATAACTTTAAGCGATGAAGATAATTTATTAGTAATGAAATTATTGGCTATGAAAAAAGATAATTTATTGGCTATGAAAAAAGCCAGTCACAAATTAATATGGAGGTCTTTTGCAAGGAGCAAATGTTCAGAAAAAATAAATTAAAAAAATGCAAATGCAAAATGCAAATGTTTCTGTAAACATTAACATTGTGAATAAATGATATGAAGTGTTATTTTTTGTGACTTAATTGAACATCAATATAAGAGGTTATGCATGAGGGACGATTAGTAACTAATATCCCGTGGGATGATTAGTTTCTAATCGTTTCTCATGTTTTAGCAATGAGGTAAATTAGCCATTAATCGCATCTCGCAAGACAAAGGAATTCGGGTTAGCTTAACATATGATATTACTGCTGCAATAATATAGTAATGACTACTTAAAACAATAAACCAGTTCGTTTCTCAAGGTATTTTTGTTGTTTTCTTTTCTTCCAGAGTTGGAAAAGGTGAAGAAACACCACAAATCATACAGCGATGAGAAAGAGAAGGAAATTCATAATCTTGTGAAAAGAATTCGTGAGCTAGAAAATAATTTAAGAACAGGATCTGGAGAAACCAGTAGTTTATACACTTTGCCCGAGAGTGTGATTGCTTCACTTGAAAATGACGCTGACGTCGAGAACCTCAGTTTGTTTAAAGCTCCGGGATCACTCGTTGATGAGAAAGGTACGAGGTGATGGTGATGGTAATGATGATGGTGATGAACATGGTAATGATGATGGTAATGATGATGGTGGGTAATGATGATGGTGATGATAATGGTAATGATGATGGTAATGATGATGGTAATGATGATGGTAATGATGATGGTAATGATGATGGTGATGATGATGGTGATGATGATGGTAATGATGATGGTAATGATGATGGTAATGATGATGGTAATGATGATGGTAATGATGATGGTGATGATGATGGTAATGATGATGGTAATGATGATGATGGTAATGATGATGGTAATGATGATGGTAATGATGATGGTAATGATGATGGTAATGGTGATTGTAATGGTGATGGTAATGATGGTGGTGGTGATGGTAATAATGGTAGTGGTGGGACTAATAGTGATGATAAGGATGACGATTATGGTTATCGAGGGTAATGATGGTGCAGTGATGATGGTTGTGGATCAGATAGTCCTGGTGGTAATGATGGTTGTGATGATGTGGTAGTGCTAATGTTGGTGATGGTAGTGAAGATGGAGATTATAATGATGGTGGTTGGGGGAATGATAGTGATGGTAATGGTTAATAGTGGTTAATAATTGGTTATGATGGTTATTCAAATGTGTACTGTAGTTGTGGTGTTGGTGATGTAGTGATGACGATGGTGCATGGTGACAATGTAATGTAACAATGATTATGGGTAAGAATCAATTGTAATGTTTTCATCATGTTTTTACATAATTATATTTTAGTACCAGATTTCAACACCGTATTTCCTCTGCTGGCGCAAGTGATGACAAACGTAAAACCTCCAAACAAGAACCAAACATTCAGGTTCTTTCTGTCCACTGATAAAGAAGCGAGGAGAGACGCGACATTTTTTGTGAAGGTCAGGGCATAATATACTTAGAAGTTGGTCATAAGCAGTGTGTGTGCTAGCCTGTGAACAGGCTCTCGGAGACATTTAACAATTTTTATTTTATGAATATAATTTGCATAAATAATTTACTTCCATCTCATTTTCATCCATTTCTTTGGGAAAAGCAATAGTTACTGCTCAGAGCAGTCTGAGCAGAGCAGTCGGAGTAGAGCAGTCTGAGCAGAGCAGTCTGAGCAGAGCAGTCTGAGCAGAGCAGTCTGAGCAGAGCAGTCTGAGCAGAGCAGTCTGAGCAGAGCAGTCTGAGCAGAGCAGTCTGAGCAGAGCAGTCTGAGTAGAGCAGTCTGAGCAGAGCAGTCTGAGCAGAGCAGTCTGAGCAGAGCAGTCTGAGCAGAGCAGTCTGAGCAGAGCAGTCTGAGCAGAGCAGTCTGAGCAGAGCAGTCTGAGCAGAGCAGTCTGAGCAGAGCAGTCTGAGCAGTAACTATTGGCTCAGAGTTAGTGCCGAGGGAGCCAATCAGAATGCTCAAAGGCCATTTTTCCATACTGAAATTATACTAAAAAATAGTTCACTAAAAAATGGTGCATGTTCAGACGGCATAGTAAATTTCAAAATATAGTATTCCGGTTGTCTAGAGTAGAAGCAAATGTAAATTTCGACCACTTACGTAAGTACGCGAATTATCGTGCACTCTCAGCAGTACCCCTAAAATGGCGGATAAACCGAGCGCGAGAAAGGCTAATAGAGGGGTGAAATTTTTGGTAAATATATTTTTCTGTGTTGTGTTGAACTATCGTTTGAAAAAGCTGTCAAATTGTCAAGAACGGGACATTCTCGGAAAATCAGCTGAACATTTTCTAACGACATTTTTCAATTTCATTTAGGTTATATTTCCCCAACTGCAACAATTGTGCAGGGAAAATGGAAAGTTCCTCATCATGCTGGAATCCTATGGATCTCATAATAAGGTATAAAGTGAGATCTTTCGACATTCCCAATTATTAAGCAAAGGGGCCGTTGGGGCCGACTCACGGATAAGATCAAATGAAAGTGACAGAAAGAATTAGAGCAGTTTGCAGTTGTTTTTGCAAACCGGGCACCGTGCGAATTTTGCCATTTCACCCATTTGTCGTGCTTCCTTTGCCAAATCAAATGAACGAACCACTGATGTAAGGGAGTTTACGATCTACGATGCGGCCGGCTCGACGACGCGCTTTCAAAACAAAAATAATTGGTGTTTCCACAAACAATAGTATTATATGTTTTATTGCCATGCAAACCTACAAAGAACTTACAAAGAAATTTGCCATCAAGACAAAAACTGTCAATAATCTGTGGTCCCAGGAGAATAGTCAGCCGCGTTGTCATTCTCAACACAACGTTAAACAAGCATTATTACGTCTTTCAAGCAACGTGAAAGCTTAATGCGACCCAAGAGGTGTTACTTAAAGTCGAAATTACAGCAAACATTGCATCGCTTCAGCCGAACGTAGCAGTCTGTAAGGTTATTTGAAAAAGCGTGAAATATTTTTTACAGTAATCAAATTGCTTACCGCTCATTCTTGAGCTGAAATTTAGACCGCGTCGTTGAGCCGGCCGCGTCGTAGATCGTAAACTCCCTATTAGTGGAACGAACGCGTGCTCCAGCCCGATTTCCGGTTTTGAAAGGCCCGCTTCGCAGGCAAACAGTGCGCGCAAAGCAGGCTGATCATTTCCCATGGTTTAACTGCCCCACACTCACCCCACATTCAAGTAACCACAAAGACTCACAGATGTTGCTTTGCAACATCCGTGAGTCAAAAAGGCCTTTCTTTCAAACGTGGAAATATATGTATTCTTCACGTAATAACCGTTCCTTTATTAGTTTATTATTTCGTTATTTTTCAGTCGCGAGGAGAACGAGATGACGGATGGGAATCGCATCTCATGACAAAATGTGATTTGTTTTTTGGAATGCTTGGCAACAGTGACAACAGGTCGGTGTTAAAAAGAGATAATTATGTAATCAGTGGTGCTTAAATTACTTTGAATTTGTACTCGAGTAAAAGTAGAAGTAATTAACAATAAAACGACTTGAGTAAGAGTAAAAAATACTGGAAGGAAAACGTACTTAAGTAAAAAGTACAAAGTATCCTTAAAAAATACTTGAAGTACAAAGTGAAAGTAAAAGTACTATTGTCTGCAGCCTGTAGAGGGGGAGGGGGACTTTCCCAATGGATTAACATACAAAAGACACAAAACAACACACGCATATGCGTGCACCGAATATATACAATATTTCACGGCATGGTCTGCGTTCCAGACTCCGTTGAAGATAGAAGAAATCCATTAAATAAATAATTCTTGTAAGTAAGTCATAAACGGGAGATCCCATACGCATGTAGAGGTCCTATTACCTTTCCCGAAATTAAAATAAACCTCTGAGAAATAAATCACGTAAAATTAAACAAAAGTTAAAATGTAACGTAATACTTCGCCACAAAATGAAAATAACGAAGTAAAACGTTACTTCTTAAAATGACTTCGTTCCAAGTAAAATTACCCCAGAAAAAGTTTACTTTGTTACATGCTCACTTCTCAAAAACAGTACTCAAGTACAGTAATGAAGTACATTTACTTCATTACTTGACACCACTGTAGGTAATAGATAAAGCTTGAGCAGCTTGATCCGTATCTGATGTTCCTATTCTTCTATAATCTAAAAGAAATGAATGATATTTGGTGGGAAAGTCGAACTTAAAGTTTATGTAAATCAGGACAAAATTTGTATGTGGTTAGCGCACTTGCCTTTCACGTTCAAATCTCAGTGAGAACTTTCTCAATACGACTCGAACCCAGTCCTCATGTGAAAAGAGCAAAAGTCAACGCCGAAAGTCGTGGGTTTTCTCCGGGTGCTTCGGTTTCCTCCCACAGGGAAAGTTGACAGGCTGGGTTAGGTAAAAGGGCCCACAGTAATTGGCATATGCTGTTGTGGAGACCCTGCCCTAGTTGGCAAAGCTAAATAAATAAATATGTATTTCTTTTGAATTTTCTTTATGAATTATTAATGAATTTTATAAGTTTACTAAGTAAAAATGTAATGATCTAACTGTTTTATTTTATTTTAGGGCAATTCTTGACAAATGGAAAAGTTTCCACAACATTTTTAACACTCGACGACGTCCGATGTTTTTCTGTTTCAAAGACAGCGAATACAATGCGTAAGTATTTGCAGTATTTCAAATGTGGGCAGTGGACTTCCAATTCCAGTAGAGCTAGGGGTTCAGATTTGAGTTCCACTACCGCTACCATTAAGGGACCATTAGCCAATCAGATGCGGCTAATATATCCGATTAACCAATCAGATGCGCCTAATATATCCGATTAACCAATCAGATGCGTCTAATACCAAGCCTGTGAGAGGTAGTGGGGTAGTGGAAGTCAAATATGAATCTCTCTAGAGAAGGCAGAGAAAATTTCGACTTTTCGATTGAAAGCCCTTCCTCTGGTAATTATTGCAGTGTTAGCTTAGATAAAAACGATTTCAAAAGGAACCGATAAAATTAGCTGTTGCACTGATAACTCACATGTCTAGTTACTGTACTGTTCTTGTTTACAAAAGCATAGCCATATCATTGAACAACGGCAACCAAGCTCCGCATTAAAATTATGTACTACAAGTAGTACATTCGTATATTTATCATGTAGATTATTCTAATGTAAGCTTAGTTACCTCTTTACTATTATTTGCTGCCATAAGCTGGAACGATATTAACAATGCATGCGAGTTCTCCAATGTGGCGAATTGAGTTTAAACAAATGTGGACCTGATTTTGTCTCTTGCATTGTTAAAAATACATTCTTAAACAGAAAATGTTTCTGCGTAGGTCTGGTGGAACAGAATTGACGCATTTTCTGGATAGCGTTGGCGAGGAAACAAAGGTACTGACTGCATTAACCCAACAATACTTCTCCGACGTTTTTGGTGACTGATAGATAAACAAATTTTTGCTTAGGTGTCATTTTATACTCACCCCACAAATCTAGTGGAAGAAAACAACGAGGTTATTCAGGAAATTGTCAAGGAGGTGAGGATTCATTCACTTTGATATTCGTATCTTATGATGCAATTTTTCCTATAAGTCGTTTATTTGCGATGAAAAGCGTTCTAAAAATTTGGTAAAAAATTGTCGATTTAAAATTGACGCCATATTTACAGCAATATAAGGAAAGCTCGCCGGCAGTGTCCATTGAACTCTATTATATCTGGAGCAACTTCAGTCTTATTTTTATTATTATTTATTTAACAACTTTATTGGTGCCATAAATTACATTAAAATAATTAGTACAATTTCAACTGGCCCAAAAGGGAAGGTGCGAACGAGACTATATAGGAGTCCCATGCAAAGCATCTCCCTTCTCTAATAAGTAGTAATAGATATTTATAATTATAATACCTTATTGAATTCTGATCGTTTAATTGGCTGTTTATGGTCGCGTGATATTGAATAGAAAATTCCATTTCCCAAGAGTGGAATGAAATACGTTCCATTGCACTCTTTGCGAGTGCAATTGTACTATACGTTTTATTCCATTGCACTCTTTGTGTTTTCGATAAATCGCATCCGTCAAAATGCTTCTCATACGAATCTATTAGTCTATTTTGGTATTATATAAAACAAATAATGAATGTTTATTCGTGCAATGGTTAGAATATTTTCATTCCGTGAAAGATGGAATGTTCCAATCAACTCGGCTGTCGCCTCGTTGAATGGAACATTCCATCTTTCACCTCATGAAAATATTCTTACCATTCCACTCATAAACATTCATTATTTGTATACTATATATGTATTATAAAACTATGAAAACAATGAATGTAGCAAAACGGTCAAACAGGGGCGAATGATGATTTTGAGATTGAGCTAGTCAACTCTCTTGGAGTGATTGGTTGAGATAACGCACGAAACATCGTCACCCGTTCCTATTTGGACGTTTTACTTCTAAATAAATAGTTTGCTCTATGACCTATGACAAGAGCAGTCCCGCACCAGACTCCATGTGCATGTCATGTGCACGTCATGCGCACGTCATGTGCACGTCATGTGTACGTCATGTGCACGTCATGTCCACGTCAAAGGTTCTGTTCAGCTCTAGACTAAATATGTTTTTGGTCATTCGGCCTGTGAGAGAAGTGAAGCGAAGATGTGAACGCCACCTCTGTTTCTCGTCCCTATACACCTTTTCCGGGTTCGCGACGCCATCTTGAAAGTATTGTTTTCGCTATTGTGCTTGCCCCACTTGCAAATTTACCTATAGGGAATTACTAGGAATTCCATTGTTTTCACTATTGTGTTTGGCCACTTGGCAAGATGGCGTCGCGAACCCGGAAAAGGCGTATAGGTTGTATAATAATATTCACCGGCTGAAGCGAGCTTTATAAAAAACAATTTCACCGTCGATAAAGAAGCATCACCCACATAAATGGCAAATTTCCAAAGCGCAGTTGACAGGTTTCGACATCATGTTTTTGTTACGGCTTTGCTTCCTGTAAAGACATAGTTATTATGTTTGACCTTGTCACGAAAAAGAAAGGTTTCACACTTGACATTCTTTGTGATTTGATTATACATAAGTTCATTCCATAACACCTTAGAAAAAAAATGCCGCTGTGAAAATTTAGAATTACCGCCGGGTGTAATTCCACCGGTCCGCCGGTCTAATACCATTGGTTCAACTGTATGACGAGACAGACGGCTCCAGGTTCGCAGCTCCAGGTTCGCGATGAGCTAGCTCCAGGTTCGATTTCAACCTGGAGCTGGAACGACTAGTTTGTAAATAAACTGCTTTGGCCAGTTAAGCACTAATGGAAATCCAATTTTTTTGAAAGACCATTTTTTCATGTCATATTCTTTAGTACGTGAGGGAAAATGAAGACATTATTCCGTTCCGTTCGTCCATGGTAGCTTGTGAAAGATCACTGTTTTTTCTGACAAAGGGGCTGGTCAGCGGTGGGATAGATCGCAAAGCTCGTTTAAAACCTTATTTTATTACCTTTATAACGAAAAATTTAAAATTTTGATTGATGACCATTCTAGAAAATGTATTCAAAAGTAATTTCAAGCGGTTAACTTGTTTCCATATCGCGAAACCGCGATGGATAACTCGCGCAAAATTGAACTGTCTAATTTCACGCACCGCCCGGTTGTGTTAATTCTATCCTTCCGTGAACACAACAACTTTGGTATGCGTAAATTTACGCTCTAGAGATGTAAGATTTTGAAATGTTTATGACATAATATAATTTGATGCGCTTTGCTGAAGAACTAACGATATAAATATATTTAATATCCGAAAGACACGACGCAAACAAGATCGCTAAAGACGGTGTTATTATGCGGCTCAAGTCGCCGAAAGGCCATAACATGTCAAATACGTCTAGCATCGTCTAAATTGCTTCGCAAATTTCTCGCTAATTTCGCCTTGCAACGATTTTTTAAAAGATGACCCTTCTAGACTAATATTCATACTATCATATTTTACAGCATTTGAAACTTTAGGATATATATCCACCATGAGCAACTCATGAGAACACTATAGCATCGTTACCGACATAAGAAATCAACTTTCAAGAGATGTGAAATATTAAATGTAAACAATAATGCAAGTCCTCTGGCACGTGCCGGACATTTGATAATCTCAGGGGAAAACCGTATAATTAACTATAATGTCGACATGCAAATGCATGCGATCTAATGAGGCCATGCAGGGAAGGATTTAATAGTGCACAGGAATGGAAACAAGGCAATGTTGGTAGTATGTTCGTCTAAACGATATTGAGTTTGGCTCGTTGACATTTATAAAATATTAATTAATACGGTTTTCCCCTGAGATTATCAAATGTCCGGCACGTGCCAGAGGACTTGCATTATTGTTTACATTTAATATTTCACATCTCTTGAAAGTTGATTTCTTATGTCGGTAA